GAACTGGGAATTCCGGGGCCAAAGGTGGAAGCGAACGGGGTGCTTGCGTTGACCATTGGGACCTTGTAAGGACTGCCTGCCACGCAGCTGGGGTAGAGAAAGCTAATGGCTTCGCTGTCGGTTTGATAGGTTTTTTAACATCATAAACTGACTGCTTCGTGTCCAAAATGTATCCCAAAATGACGTGGATACATAGGAAAGAGAGAAAGAGCGATATGAACAACGCTGGTCCGAGGAGAAGCAATGCAAGCCAGGAGGTCGCAATCCTAACAGCAAATGGTACCAAGACAGCTGCCAACGCCACAAGTATTGCAAGCCGGATCCCGTAACTTGACAAGGAAGAAGAGTCCATGCTTGTTTGGAGTCTGCAGTGCCTTCGCAGGTGTAGTTATTGCAAGGACCTGCTCAGCCTGAACAAGGAAGCCTGTATATGGATTAATTTGTGAGATGCATAATAGATAATACTGGACATACGAGGTTGTGCCAACGTAGCTCATGAACTCATATTCTGTTGTCCTTCTGGCAAGTCGCGTGACGTTAGCGTCGGACTTCCAATTCCGTGCACTGCCACGGCCAGCCGCTGTCTGCCGTGCGCCAGCTCCATTTGAAATACTTAGTTCTGTTTCTTCTCCTGCCCGTTAGAATTTATTTATTTTCCTTGGTTAACAGCCCTAAAAATGTCTAGGATGAATATTTTCTTATAGTGTTCGAAAAGTGCATTGGGTGAGGTTGCATCAGATATTTTCCAATATTTGCACATTACCGACGCCCTACTCTTCGGAATGATAGGTTTATTTAGCTGATTTTTATCATTATTATAGTTGGCTTGAATCAAATCCAAAGGATTCTGTTCAATTTTTCTCTAATCTCAATTGAGTTTTAAGTACTTTTCATGAGACGTGTCTAGAGTCTTGACCCTCTCCAAGGCCATCACGTTGGCCGATCCCGAGCCCCACTGATCCATAGATTCAGAGTGATCCGAGCACACTACTTACATCCTATTTTGGACGCTTGAGATTCGCTGGACGCTGGGCGTGCTGGGGCGTGCTGGGGCGTGCTGGAAGGCTCTGAATTAGCTCTGACTCGTGTTCGGACTGATTCAATTGCATCAGTAAACGCAGCGCTGAGTGTGCCCACCCCTGGGTGCCCTGGACCTTCATTTCAGCATCCAATTGAGGTACAAACTCTTTATAATATGAAACAAGAGAAACTAGCTTTGAGTTTGCATTGGATGATGACGACGGACCTCAAATGCTTCCTGTTGCATCAGCTCTGTCGTGACTACCTACAGACAGGAATTATTTCTGAATTCATCAGAGCAAAAAATACTTACAATTGATGCATATCTTCTATAGAAAAAAATCGGAGCCTGGACAGACACAAAACCTATATGTCATTGTCAACCCGCGGAACCTGCGCGTTGTTCGCCCATGGCTTCAGAATTTCGGAGACAAAATTGAGTTAGTAATCAAATGCACGAACATATAGCTAATCTTTATATACTGGGTGTAGGAGATGGCTTTATGCTATAACGACCAGAAAGGTACATAGCAATAAGCATAAAAAATGCCCAAAGGTTACTTTGACAGCTGTCACGAATATAAGAGCCAGGAAACCTTGCTCGGATCTTGCTCGGATCTGACTTTTTTGGGAGCTATCGGTGTACTGCAAAGAAATTCCTGAAATTACTATAAGTATCTCCTGAAATCAATACTTTATATGGTCACAAGTCTGAGTCGAACTAAAGCCACATACTTTCGGCTCTGCGTATCTCTTTATACAGGCATTTCAGTAAACTCGTACTACATACTTAACCGGTAGGCTCGTAACCGGTTACCCTGTCAGCCATTTGTGGACGGACTGGCACGTTATAAACTTAAGCGAGCCTCGATGATGTTCCTCCTCGATGGCGGCAGCTGACTAAGCGGTTTCAGCATCATCCTTATTCCTTGGATTTTAAATATGAGGAAAATCTATAAAGTACAAATATTTCTCATATATCAATTCAATTGATAATATTAATGATCTATACTAAGAAATCAGAAAGGGAAGAAGAATGAAGATGCATAGCGCGGGCACTAGTTGGTCGCGACAGCCGAGCCACGTCATCGGATCTCGCTTAAATCTATATTCGAAGTTGCGGCAGTCCGTAGCCATACCAGGTGGTGCGCTGCTTCTAAGTGCCGCAAACTAGCGAAAAGCTCGAATACAACAATTTCATGATAAGTGGATAAATAAGAATGAAGATATCGCTCAACATCGTGTTCAGATCGAATTGGAGCGCAGTAGGTTCGAAGCGGCGGGTGCGCTCGGGTCTTGGCACTGGACAACATTCAGGGTTGTTTCCCCGGTGCTAAGTACGATACGCGAATCGCCTCTCTGAGACAGCGCTCGATCGGCTCATGGAACGTTTCAGTAGTGCCAGTACTACTAGTGGTATCAAAAATATCGCTCTTGCCTCTTATCCCCATGTTGCCTCGAAGGACCTACCGATTCCTCTTCCTTGGGGTTATTGCTGTCCTCGTCCTCCTCTTCCTTCAGTCCTGGCACTCTCTAGGAGACCCTCTCGCCATCCCGGCTTCATGGGCCGACTATGATTTTTCAAGATACATCCTTGGACATAACAGTACACACCACGCTCAACATGTCGATATGGCCCTGCTCGATGAGATGCATAGCTGTGATAGATGCCTCGTATCTCCCGAATGGTGTGGGGAATTTGGGTCGAGAAATTTGGATCTGGCCACGGCCCACGAAGGTGAGTAAGATCGTTAGTGCCCTGCGAGATTCTCATTGACGTGGCTTGTTTAGGCAGCGGCGACCGTCTCCGAAGGGCGATAGCTAAATCTGAGCGTGGAGAGCCTATCAGGTTCGGTATTATTGGTGGTTCTCTCTCGCGCGGGCACGGATGCCATTGCACGCCGTTCCATAAACAGATCTTTAATTGTGCGTGGTCTCATGTGATAAGCGAAATCCTGTGGCCGTAACTGATTTACTTGCAGGGTGGAACGAAACGTATCCCCATCCTGATAACTTGTTTGTCGATGGATCAGTTGGGGCCAGAGGGACGAACTATTTCAAGGTATTGGCTGATTTTCTATCCCAAGCACAATCAATCCTAAATATAAACACTCTAGTTTTGTCACGCGGAGCACCTCCGCCCTGACCTTGATGTCATTCTCGTCGAACTGAGTATGTACAATTTACATCCTCATTTTATGATTTCACCTGAATTAAACCCTTCGTTCAGGTATCAATGATCTATAGTGCGTATTTCACTGACTCGATCCAGAAATGGAACCTAGACTTTATCCCTGCAGTAACATCGAGAACGTCCATAATATGGAGTCAATCATCCGTTCTATGCTTTCATATCCTTCCCACCCTGCGATTATAATGACAGCCTCTTTCAGTTTGAGGGGAAACACCTTAGAGACGGGTATTGATGGTCATTTAGCTGTCGCGCAATATTATGATGTTCCAGTAAGTCGGATTCTGGTCAGTATATTCTATTAATTTATATTAACGAACTCCCTAGGTGATAAGGTGCGCTAATAGCGTCTATCGCGATCCATATTTCTCTGACAGTCTTTTATAGCATGCGAAATGCTTTTCTGCCTATCATTCACAAACATCCGGAGATGCGAAAAGGTAAGGGACTTCCCTCTCTCGTTTAATTACATTTAGCTTAATATCTGTCAGTGTACTTCGCATGGGATGATCCTGGGAAGCCAGAACGGCCTGATACTCTTCATTTCAGTGCACTCGGTCATGCTGCAATGGCTAAGACGACAGTAGCATTAATGTAAGCAGGTAATTTTCGCTCTATTCTTAATTTAAATATCATCTCCACTCCAGCCAACGACAAGCCTGTATCCTTCATAAAGGTCTACCCACCATGTCTGGTAATTCCAGCATATGGCCAGTCGGGGAAGAGTTCACTACCACAGTTCCTTTCGTATGTCTCTTAACCCTATTTCCACATATACCATCTAAATGACTATCCAGCAACGAATGACGGATAAATATGATGCGGACCAGACGGAAATGTCTCCTATCGATCGGCCGCAGTGCATGTCTATCGATAGCCCCAGGCAGAAATTAGCTCCTATCTCCAGCGAAGGCTGGGAGTCATGGCAGCTGCCGCACACGGAGAAGCATTATTTGCGTGCGACTGAACCTGGCAAGCGAATCAGTTTCGAGGTAACGCTAACTGCGGGGAAGGTAAGCAATTCTGTCATATCTGTATATGAGCGATAAGTAAACTCTTATTTTGTAGGTAGCCATCTATTATCTGAAGAGCAATACGATGGGCCTTGGGCGTGCGAAGTGTTGGTTCGATGATGATGTTAAAAATGCACGTACGCTGGACGGATGGTGGCCGCGGAAGGAGTGAGTATTCATTCTTATATGATCCTCATCCCTTTAATATCTGTTCATCCCTAGGAATATTGGCGACTTCACGCTTGTCAATGAAGGTCGGGATATACCTTCTGGAAAATACATTGTTACTTGTGAGACCTTACCTCAAATGTTGAAAGATGAAGGAAGAGGGAATATGTGAGCCTATTCATTTGCTTTAGAGTTACCATTTCGCTCACATATTCAATTAATAGTTTCTTGTTGATAGCTGTCATGACGGTCTAATATGATTGTCCGTCAGCAATCATCCACATCTATATTATATATTTTTTGTGGTTTAATTGTTTATTTATTAGCTTTACTTAACGGACTATACACCTTTCTTCTCGGGCTTCCGCCGTGTATCATGTATTTAAGTTGTCATGCTTCATGCCAGGGAGTTGTATACTATTCGTTTCCCACTTACCCCGCGATTCTCAGTGATCGTATAGTTCTTATATTCTCGTCGTATAATCTTTTTAAAATAATCGGAAAGAATGTACTTGCACCCAATAAGCCAGAGATGCTAACAGCTTAGCGTCAGCGCTTGTTTAACCCCAGGCGCCTCAGGGGGGGTTTCCTCGTTACTTCTTTCGACGGACCTCTTAGCTCAGTGGTGGAGCATGCGATTCCAGATTGGAATCTCCGCAGTACCATCTGTTCAATCCGGACAGAGGTTAATCATTTTGCATTCCTTAGCCCTCGGTGGAAGTCCAAATATTTTTCCGCCATCTCGCAGTTCACTAGCTTAAATCTTGTATGTCTTCCTCCAACTTATGATCTCTACTTACAAAAGACATGTCTTATGGTTTCCTTTAAATTTCAGTTCTCATCACGGTATACTTTGAAATACTTCAGTCGTTTCTCAAGATGCTACCTCGTTATGTAACTAAATACAAACCTTTTCTTTATTCAGATTGAGAAGACATGGATTTCCTCGTATTCATAGGTAAGTATAGACATCCTCTTTCTTATCTATCTGGCTGATCTTCCTTTCAGACCACCCACAAAAGCTCAAAAGCTCACGACGCCTCTGATTGCTGTGGTAATGGTACTTGACTGTGAAGTTTCGGGTCCGGGTCCAAGACCTTCCATGCTAAGCACATGTTCTAAATACACTTCGCGTCCCGACTGATATCGACTACCACCACCGGTTCACCGATCTTCCTACAAGAATGATCAAGTTCATCAAATATCTTACCTTGGAATCGGTACATCCTCCCTCAGACCTCGACAAAGGACTGCAATCCTCTGCTTTTCCTCCTTGAAGATTCAAGGTCCAATCATTGGATGAAGAATCCGAGGATGAGGGAGCATGAATCCGATTTTCAAGTTTACGACGGATCCTGACAATGCCAGACATCTCTTGGAGGCGAGGCCCAAGATCCCCAAGATCGCAACTGATCACGATCACTGGAGGAAACCACCGAGCGTGCCGTGTTAGCCTATTACAGCAAGTACCCTAAGTAACCTTGAAGGTACCCTGCCATGCGTCGATCATGAGCACCCGGCTCGATCGTGAGCTCCCTTTATATATAGAGGGTACATTGAAATGCTTTTTACTCCCGTCGTAGACGTGCTGTGGGATGTCATCTACACTCCAGGCAGCTCAGCTTCTCCCGTTCATTACAGTTCAACGTACACTCGTTTTCAATAATGGTACGTCGTATACACAATAGTCTGAAATACAAACTTAATCTTTCCAAATAGTCGCAGCAACGTCGTTTTTCTTTTGGGAGTTCTGTATAACATTGCCGGATGAGGTATGTACTTTGTGGTAGTAATCCCAAGCCAGTCGACTAACGGTACATTTAGCTTCGGCTGGTATGGGGGTAGGCCCAAATGTTTGCCTCGCGAGTCGCGACTGATATCCTTGCCCAGTGAAAAGAGAACGTTCGCCAGTGTCTTGTTTATTATGAGCCGGTATCTCACGTTCATCAACCGCGTGTACGTTCTTCACTTCGTCCCATCTAATTGTACTAAAGGCTTTGATTTAGTATAGCAATCGCATTTTATACGGATGCAGGTCGTTTGATGACATTGGGGGGAGGAGGCTGTATGGTGTGGGCATGGGCTGAAGCGGTAACGGGGCACACAATCTACGTATCAGTTGAAATTCTCCTTATCATGCGAAGTGCGTTCTTTTTTATGTCTGCAGTTCGATCATTGCAATAACATTGCCTCAGTATATGCTTTCTACGAAAGGAAGAGGTCCATTTTGTTGGGGCTTTGGGCTTTATGGATCGTAGAGCATGGCCTGCAGCTCGGGATATTGTTCTATGCGCTACCCCGATTTAATATCATTGGGAATCCTATGCCGTCCAATCGTTACATATTGCCGCCAGCATGCATAATTCTTTCCACCCCTTCAATATTCAAGAGCTATTGGCAAGTGTCCCTCAAGTCAGATAGTATACCGCTATTAATATTTTCTCTATATAGGATTCCAGGAATGGTGATGCAGGCGACACTCTTCGTCCTTTTGATTTTAAAATTCTTCAAAAGACGTGTTCAAAACTAGTTCGCAAGTACTAAACTGCTGTCTGTCTTTGTGCGGGATGGAGCTTGGGTATTCACCCTGATGTTTGGTGCGTCTCCTATTCTGAATAAAACTATGATAAGCTCATCATTTATTTCGGTATGATCGCTTGGTGCTGCATGGCTTTCGAACTTAATGCCGAAAACGGTGACATTGCATTAACGTAAGTCACTCCGGTCCGGTGCATTACCAAAGTTATTTAACTGCTCTGTATAGTTGGCTGTTCTCTACACTGGGTATTATTGTACGTTATTCATTGCTTCTTTTATTCCACGACTCACATTGTGTACAGGGAACTCGTGTGGTCCTCAATCTCCGTAAAACTTCCCTCGATATGCATAATCAAAGTGATCTTTATAACGTACTCATGGCCAGCTGTCAAAGCCACCAGATGCAAATTTTGAACAGTCTCACAGTATCATATCCACATGCATCGACATACCCACATATATTGTCAATGGACAAGTCACACATCACATCACATCCTACCCCTCCTTCTTCTTCGCCGCTACCGCTGCGTGATTTTAGCGATCACGCGCACGGATGGTAACGACTTCCGACGGCCCTTCATTTAGACTCTTCATTCTCGCTTCTGTATCGATCTTGTACATCTACTTAACGAGAGCTTTCAACCCGCCCTCGTTCTCAACAGTGATGGAGTCTTCAAAGCGAAACGATCTTCTTTATTCGAATATGTGGGACATTTTCAACGTGATTATTCCATAGATAAATATCGTCAAGTATTAAAAGCAGATAATCCAAATTGTTTCCTAATTGGATATCCTGACCAAGTGGTTGGCAGGCACCCTGGCAGTGCCTCACTACGCTATGTACGTCTTCTCTCCCCTCATGTTTACCCTGTTTTTAAAGGTCGCATAGAGTTACGGAATGTTCTAAATGGCCCCTTTATCGGCTAGCATTACCTCGTTCATCGCATCGACAAAAGTGACCTCTTGCCCGCAACCTCATATATGCACAGTTTCACGCAGGATCTGCCGCGCTTTTCGGACCCGAGCAAGATTTTGATTTTACTATTCTAGATTTCTACGTTAGAAGGAGTGCTTTCGAACCTCAAAATGAAGAATCACGCGTCCAGAGGTCCTATAACAGTTGTTTTTACAGAGCTTTCATTCAAGACAAGAATCACTTCGCCAACATAATATTCCCATAGCTTTGCGACAGCTTAAGTGTCAGAGGAGGATCTTCTGATACGTATTCTAGTCTTTATGACTAGGGACGCTAATGGGAATTCATGTACATATTTTATAGTGCCTGAAGCCCAAGCCCCATGTTCCAAAGGTCTAGATTTATTTTAGCTGCATCTTTCACAGATCTAGAACAGCCCAGGACTAAAGCCTGTCTCTCCGAGTCTATCCGAGCCCGCGACTCCCCGCGATCGCGAAGGCATTTTGGCTACCTGATCAACGTCACATCTAACGACAGTTGCATCCGCCTTGGCACTAGACCCAGCGTTGGCGGTGAGTTCAAGGCTTTGCGTCTTGGCAGCGCTGTTTCAATAAACCAGATTAAAAAGTCTTAGCTCTTCTATCTAGACTTTTTCTATAACTAGAGCTTGGAGACGCGATTGGGTGGAAATGGGCGGCGGGTAACTTCCCTCGGTCCGTAATTATTTTCAAGAGGACACTCAACGAAATAATGGTGAGTCCTAACAAACCCCTGAAGTTGCTCGGTAAACTTACTGTATTTAATCTTTTCTCATTCTCGGTTTCCAAGGGAGCATCGACGTCAGCTTTAATTTCTTTCGGACCATCTTTGATTGTGGGATAAATCATATACACGGGGGAAATGGGCCAGTATAGCCCTTGCGGAAAGTTGTGGTGGGGTACGCAGACTCTTGAGGTTTCCGCAAGCCTCTCCACAATTGGACACTTTGCGTCGATACCAAATCGACCCAAATCATGCTACAAAGGACGCGGCCATGTCAAGGCGTTACAGCGCGGTCACCTGATTGCAAGCGTTGCGTCCATTTCATTGTTCAATTCTCCGCACATGAACAATGGTATTCTGTTGTTATGTGCGTGGAGCTCAAATGAATACAATGTATTGATATACTACGGTGTCAATTAAAACGCTGCCGCATCAACTTGAAGTGGTCGCATCCTTGTGACATTATTTGCGCGGATTTGGTATCAATACAAAGTGTCCAATTGTGGAGAGGTTTGCGGAAATTTCAAGTATCCGCGCATCCCGCAGCGACTTTCCGCAAGGGCTATACTTAACTCATTTTTCTCGTGTATAAGCACAATGTACGAAGCGTATTATGGCAAGTGTTTTTTTCTTATTCATCAATCTTCGTCCGTGAGTCTACTATGAAAAGCTAGGACCACTTTGAGTGGCAGTTATGTTTAAATATTTATTCTAGAGAATGCCGTCGTGGTAGAATTCTAGCATCCTGAGCCTGAGGTGTCTAACTATCTACTCTACATATCCTGATTGACATGATTCAAAATTCCTTCCTCCCCGCCTCTTGATCGCACCCCGTTTCAAATGTATAATCAATCTCTTTCAATGCCTTTTAGAAGCTCTAAGATTCTTTGACAATTATTGTCTTTGTGTGACAGTATGCCGCATGCGAACCACGTTGATTCATTTTAATTTTAAAATCGCGTCATAGGGCACATCATAACTAGATTATGGTCACTCCTTGTATATGTGACGAGACTCGGATTCACATCCACGTCGCTGCGTTTCTCGTCGCGATAAAACAGGATAAAACAGTATTCAAGTCGTCCATTCAGGTTTGATTGTTATTGCAATGCCCAGAACAGTGAGGTTGCATTGGCACAGTCATCCAGCTGCTCCACTGTGTGTTCTTATATATATCTTGTTTATCTATAGTTGGTTAATATTATTATCGGTTTGGGCCAAGTTCAAGTTTGGGCAATGGGTATTGTCGTACTTGGACTCGTAAGTCACATACTTAGTAATTGTCTTTTCTTCCTTAGTAGTATCCCTTAAATAAATCATTTAATTTTATTAGACTCACCGTGGAGATTGATCTGTGGTTCGACAATATAGGGAGTCCGGACAGCTGCCACACAGGGCTCTATTGTGACCTGTCACGAGCCGTGACGGGCCGAAAGCAGGTGAATGTAAGGGAGCTTACCTCAGCAGATATGG